CGAAGTCCTGACGAGTCCGGATTAAAGACTTTGTACTGTATTTTCTTTTTCACATCAAATATTAATATATTCGGTAATTATGACTTCATTATTCGCTAAGTATTTCTTCTTCAATATTTCGTACTCAGTGTTGCGGTTTACCTATAAACTGAATATTTATATTTTGAGAGGCAACACAGATTTTCAGTATTTGACTGTACCTGTGTGACCAAATTCAGCGTGAGCTTTTTCAAGTATTTAGAATACAAGGAGATATTGCGGTTATAATTTTATACAGTCCTTTTTTTCAATAGCTAACACATTTTTAATTTTCTTATACTTAGAGTTATAAAAATATAATCTAAATTTTGATGATCCATAATTTCTTTTCATAATAATATATAATATGTATAATAAATATTAATATATAATATGTGTCAAATATTATTTTCAGGTGTTCTAAATGTTCTTTAAAATTTTGGGAAGCTACTATTATGTGATCAAAATAATTTAAAGAAAACTAAATATAATATTTTTTTTTTAATTTACCTAAGGGTTGTTTGAAAAACAGCTGGGGAATTTTTCCAACCAAAAGATAATCTGTTTAATTCATAAAATAACAAGGTCAGGATCTTTTCCAGCTAACTTTATATTCTAATAACCGGATGCAAGGTCTAATGTAAAAAATAATTTTGCATTCATTAATTGGTATAGTACTGCATTCATTTTAGGTATGTATTCAGAATCTGTTTTAGTAATTTCATTTTCTAAATTACTAAAACAGACTTTTCTGTTATTAAAGCTAACTTTTCTGTTATTAAAACATAATCAAGTTGTTGCATAAAGTTACAGGGGCAAAATAAGGCTAAATGATGGTTTTTATAATACCTACATGTAGTAATTTGTCTATTTTCTTTCATTATCTTTAGGATCTGTAGGGAATGCTCTATATGGTTTATAAGGTACAGAAAGTTCTGAAGTCAGTATTACTTTTGGAGGTTTAATATTAATATAGTCTTCATCATATTTGCTTTTTGCCAATATGTGACTATTATTATTTATTTATATTTATTTAATTATTATTATTATAATAATTAAATAAATTTTTATAAAGTTATTTAGTAATTAGTATCCACAGAATGGATTGAATAGGAGTCTTCCCTTATTTAAATCTCATTGAACATATATGGGATACTTTAAGTAAATGCCTGGTAGCACTGTCTTATCCTCCGGAGAACACTGGATAACTGAAACAGATGCTTTGTGAAGAATGGGAACTCTTACTCTAAGAACTGTTAGATAATTTGGTGTTGAGCATCGATAGGCAGTGCAAGGCAACCATTGCAATGATAACCCTTACTAAGGCTCTTTCGTTTGTTGTCTTCTTCTTGACCACTCAGTTTTTTTTTTAACCAGATGTAAGAAACTTGGTTTTAAGATGGTTGTAAGAGAGTGTTTTGTTGGGGGGGGGCAGTCCTTTCAGATAAGTTATTAAATGCAAAATAATCCAGAAAATCCTCCTTCCTCACATCTCCTGAACAGACAACTGAGATGTTTATGACAGCATTTTAATCTTGCCTATCTGGATCAGCTTACTATTAGAATACAAACATGGTATTTGGACATACAGTCCTTTCATGTGAAGCCTTCAACACACAGTGCTGGTAGTCTTACCAAGTGATATGGCAGCCATGAGCATAACAGTTGTGGAGATCACTCGTCAATTCTGTTTAGCTACTGTAGCAATGTACCAATCTTCAGATGTGGTGGTAACCATTAATCGACCAAGCACAGGTCTCCAGACAATTGTTGGACTTGTTTGAAATTGTTTCTACATTGAAGAAATTACCGAATGATCAACACCAAAGAAAAAAGTGACATCTTTTATTGATTGTCCTATTTTAGTGCACCCAACAACATGCAGCACTTACTATCTGCCATTTATCTTCTTTCAGCCATAGAAATACAAATATCATCAAATTTATCCTACAAAAATTATGAACACTTTGTGTTAGCCTTTAAATTAATCCTCTCAAACCTTTCCAAATGCTGTTGTCTTTGACAAGTGCCTAATTAGCATATATTCAATCAGTCAATCATGATTAGTTATAACATATGACATTTGCATACCTATATCTTACAGTGATTATCAATCACTAGAATTCAGCTACATTTTTAAAAATTACTAACTTGCATTTCTTGTTAACTTTTGAAAGTCGGTGTATTATAAATGTAATTAATACCTAATAAATTTGAGTCCTTTAGCCAAATTGCAAAGGCATTATAAAACAAACTGAACTAGATAGATTTATCTAGAGATAAAAAAAAAAAAAAAAAAAGAGAGAGAGATCAGGATATTTTGGAATGGATCATAACTTATTCTGTAAATATACATTTAGTCTTGTGTAATCAGTATTTAAGCTGAAGAATAAGTAGTAAGTATTGAGCTACATGCATTTTGAAGTTTTGGGTTTATTATTGTATGATCATGAGTTACTTTGTATTGTGTTTAAAAAGACATGCACAACAATAATATTAGTGAAACTAAGTAAACAGATTTCAAATCATGTGAAAATAAAAAATAAAAATATTATGTTAAGCTTAAATAAAGAACTATGCTACAAAATGTAAAGTATGAATATTGATTAGTGAAGGCTGAAATGTACTTCTCAAAGATAATTTCATATATTTTGTCTTTATAATGTTGTGAGTCATCCTTTTTGAATAACTTTACCACTTTTATCAGATTTCATTGTGCGGTTGATGATAAAAAGAGGGATTTACTATGGAAATAATATTTACATAATGAAATTTCAGTGTAGGATGTGATGAGGATGGTACTAGTAGATAAAGATGGAAATTCAGTCAGAGTCAGTTCATACAGTTAGTATTTTTGGTGCAGCATCAAGGAGTACACATAACTAAGCAAACGCTGCCTAGCAGTTATTAGCCTATATTTTGTGCATAGCAAATCTGATAATTTGGAACCCACAGGTTTGGCATATCCAATAATTTGGCATGCATATATCCCACAGGAATGCCATCTGATGAGGCTTTGAACGTATCATTTGGAAATAACGAAAATGTTCAACTTTTGCTTTTGGGGTGAGCATTAGTTATGGATAAATGTCATGTTGTAAAACTTTGTGGAAGAAAGGAAAGACATTGAGAACTTTATGCTCATGCATTCTACTGAACTCTATACAAAGTGTTTCTTCGAGCAACTGACTAATCATACTCTGTAAAAACAAAATTGTCTAAATTTATTAGGAAATAAAAAGAAAGCTAGCTGTGGCATCAAGAGAGTGATGATATAATTAGATGCTTTATTTCCTTTGTTAAGGATATTTTTTTAAGTTTCAAAAATGATTCTGTATTTTATATATAAATCATAACTTAATTTTATTCTAATTCCATGTTGCTATGATTATAGTTTGGTTTTGTATTATTATTTTGCATTTGTATTTAAAGAATGAATACTCGTTTATGACTATTTCAGTGAAGCTCCAATATTTTTTCCATCCATTTATAAATCAAGCATTTTCTTCATTGAAATTATGATTTTAGCGGCTCAGTAAAGTTGGTGCACATTAATAATTTTTTTTGTGATCCTGAAAAACTTGGATTGTAGCTTATTAGTAGGAAATAGTAAAAATTTGCAGATTAACGTAAATGATAACTGAGGCTACAATAAGTAACTATCAGTCTGATATTAATGCAAAGCGATAATCATAGAACTGTGCAGCTTGCAGAATCTTATATTTGGAATGTTAAAAAACACCAAAAGAAATTATTCCTAACATTCACATATACTCTTTGTGACTGACTGACTGATCCTATCGTGGGGTTCGTCTTAAGAATATTTCTAACAGTTACGAAACAAATAGCTGCAATTTAAATGCTTTTTTTTTTTTTTTTTTTTTTTTTTTTTAACTTAGATTATTTAAAACTTATTGAAACTCATGTTATAAGCCAGGAAAAGTTGAATTCCCTGGCATTTTTGTCAGTAGAAGAATAATAATTATAGTACAACATTATCATCAATGACTTTTTGAATGACCTAGAATTCATTTTAAATGATTTGTAAATGCTAAAAGCATGGTATTTTTAATTTATTAAATGAAGGATACTTTCTGATTATTTTTACTTCCACTAAAAAGTCACGATCTTATTTGTGACTAATATTTTTTTCCATTAATCTAATGTGTGAAAGAAACGGCCATTTTTAAAATAGTGGTGCATTAAGAATTTCATACAAAAGCAGTCAAACCATAAAACTAAAAACAGCAAGAAGCTTCAGTACTAAAACACTTACCTTTCAAGGAAATCCCTTTTTTGGGGGGAGGGGCATTGCTGTTCTTCCCATGTACCCAGCAATCTGTTTTCACTTCAGAAAAAATGGGATCATTGCACAAGTTTTTCATTGGTCAAATTTGACATTGTGCACTGTCCAAAATGGACATGTTTTGAGAATACCTGGGTTTTGTTTTTGTGCTGTTTTTCTCCCCATGCACACAGATTTTCGCTTGAAAAAAAAAAAAAAAAAACCTAGAGAACTGCATAATTTTCACATTACACATTGGCCAAAACAGACATGCTAGGCCCATACCTGAGTTGCCACAAAAACAATTTTTGATGACATTATGGATTGCCACGCAACAGTTTTGGCAACATACTGCTCTATCTCGTAAATAATTTTTCATGACTTCTTTATGGGGTGTAAATGATCAAAAAGTACTGAAATGGCTTTAGTGTAGCTGCTGAATTTGTACAAACGTATAAAACTAAAATTTAATATATTTTGAAGTTTTGTTTATTATATTTTCTCTAAAGCATCAATGAAGTCTTTCCATCAAACAGAAACATGATAATGAGTTGGAAAAAATTATATTTTGCATGAACTATTTATTAGCCTTTTAAAATATTAATAGTTATATTTATAAGAGATAATTTTGGCAGTACTCCAGAATGATTCATTATTTGAAAAATAAATATTAAGAATAGAATTTACTGTTCTTTAGGTAAAATTCTTGTCCATTGTTTGATGGGCTTATCAAGATCTGCAACAATTGTAGCTGCATATTTGATGGTAAAAAAGAATATGACTGCTGTAGAAGCATTGCATACCATTCGAAAACAAAGAGAAGTAAGGCCAAATGATGGATTTTTAGTTCAACTTTTACAGCTTGAAGCAAAGGGACTTGAAGGGAAATGATATGTTGATACCAAACATTATAAAGTGCTTTAAATATTTGATATATACAATATAACTTTTGCAGAATTTGCATGTATTTATTGTGTATGGAACCTCACATTTTCAAAGCAATAACAAACACTCAGTTGCCTTAAAAGCTATTAAAATAAAATTAAAAAAAGGATTCTTAAATATTTTTTTAAACATACTATTGCTGTAATCTCATATGTTTGTTTCATTTCATAAAGAGCATTTATAACTGAGGTTTGTTTAGCCATGAGGTATACTTGAATATTGTTGAATGCATGTTAATTATAAACTTTTTAATCTCATATATATGTGTTTGCATTTCATAAAGATAGATATGTATTATATCAGTATTGTTTGAGTCATATTTCTTTTTAATGTGGAAAGTTAAGAATATATATTAGTTTATATTTTATAAAATTCAGTACTTCTTCCAGCTTTTAAAATCATGTATAATCTTAAAATATTTAGATTATTAATTCATATTTATTTTTGAAGAAATAACTTCTTTACTCATGTGAATGAGAAAATTTTATTTAAACATTAAGTCTGGAGTGAATTTTCACAAAAATTTCCTTAAATAGGGGTTTTCCAGAATTACTCCATTACTGGATTTTGTTTCCATTACTTCTGAAAGTTTTTATTTTATATGTGTGTATCTATTCAGGCCTTTTTCATATTTAATGTTTCCTTATACTAGTCATTTTTTAATACTGTGTGCTTCAGGTCTATTTGAAACAGAAAAATGTGCCAGATAGTACATTAAGTAAAGTATTTAACTTACTTAAGCTTAAAATGCAATGAGTACTATTAAATAATTTGTCAAAATTCAGTGTAGACTAAATTTATCCTGCTTTTTCTGAAGTTAATTTGCTTTTCATTAAAAAATTATACTCAGCCTTTCATCCCTTGAGTGAGTCGATAAAATGAGTATCACATTCATTTGGGGACTAAACACCAGCGGCCCTGCGACAAACTGACAACTTGTCCAGAGTATATGCTCACGCACCTCAGGGCTTACGGTCAAGAAAGCAAGATATCAGAGCACAGCAGGCCATGGCTCACTAAGGGATGTTGCACCATTAGATTTACTCCTCACATTCTGTTATCTGCATTAGCATGTTTTATTTTTAATATCAATTAGTGTATGCTGACTAACTGAGAATGGAATATTTTATTAATCCTTTCAGTATTAATGTTTCTGTATGGAGTTTTGTTATGTGATCTGTTATATTGTTTATTGGAATGTTCATTAGAGAAAATTTCATTTGAAATTTAGTATTGATCATAACATTTTATCCAAAAATGTATTTTGGATTATATGAAAATCATCTTTCCTTTTTGCTGTATGAAATTCTTAGCATTTTATGCTTGAATTAATTATTAAAAAAGTCATTAATGCTTTGTGAAAAAATACTGCATTTAACAATATAAAAAGATGGAAGTAAAATCATTCATCTATAAAGGTAATTTATTTTATTTATTATTATTACTATTAATCATTTCTAAAAACTGCAATTTTTTAAAATAATATTTAATGGAATATTTGGTTGGTAATTCAGAGGCTATGTGAAATGTGTTATATTTCAGAAAGGAAAAAAATTAAATCTTATTCTTCTGAAGGATTGCATTGCTGCTATTTTGTATTTTTTTAGTCTCAAGTTATTTTTGTAATTTTAAAAGAGATTGTATGTTGTGACTTATTATAACCTTGTCAGTATTGATAACATTTACTAATGGCAAAATATGTATTTTAATATTTTTATACATTTGCATTTCTCATATGTCGTATGTATGCAAACACACAGCAAAAAATGTTTAAGAACTTGTTTAATAGTTATTATTGAAGTGGATACTTTTAAGCATTCAGATGTAATTTTTTACTGCTGTTCTTTTCTGTTATTTGGATGGGAGTTGACTTATTTTAAGCTGTATATTTTTGGATTATTGAAGAATTCTGTACTTACTTATACTATAAGTATCATTCAGTAAATTCAGAAAACTAAAATTTGCATATTCAATTTTATAACAGTAATAAAAATAAGTTGTCTGATTTTTTGATAATTACAACAAAGCATATCATTGCATTTATATTAAGGTCAAATTGCATTATTATTTCTAAAAAATTAATTAGCAGATAAAGTGTAGTATATTCATACACATTACCTGAAAACTTGATGTGTGACAAGTAGCATTTCAGTTTCCAAATAATTACCATATTTGCTGGCGTTATAAGATGCACCCCCTTTTTTATACACATTTTGAAGGTTATTGTAATGAATGTCTGATCATTGTAATGAATTTACAGTATTTTAAGTATAAAGCAATACAAAGTAATACTTTCTGAAAATACCCAATCTATATGAGAAAGAACATCTTTTAATCTTTGTCGTCAAAACCAAAACACTCATCTCCAGAGTTAAATGAAGAGTCACTTGAAACCTCTTCCAAATCAGCATCTGAGTCCTCATATAACAAATTGTCCTCTGTACCATCTAGTGCATTACTAATGCCACACTTCTTAAAGGATTTAACCACTGTCTCTGTTTACACAACAGCCCATGAAGCTTTGACGCAGTATCGACGTATAAGATGCACCCCGTTTTTCAGACCTATTTTCAAAGAAAAAAGTGTGTTGTATATGCTGGCAAATGCGGTACTTATTTTCTTGTTGATTTTTGCAGAAAAAGTATTCCTTCCATGTTCAAGTAAGACTGCTATCTAACATTTTTTTACCTTTTAGAAAAATTGCATTTGAACTAAACCAATAAACATTTAATTATTCAAAAATTAATGAAATTGACTAATATTTAATGATTTCCCATTGAGTTTTGTTTTGTTTTATGTGTATTTTTTACTTTTGCCGTTTATTTGCAAATTAATTTAAGTATTTTCTACATTTTTCTAGTTATTTTGTTTACCTATGAAATAATTTAGTTTATATTGCATGGAATAGTTTTTGGTCTAAAAATATATGAGAAAGTTTATTACTGAAAAAATGAAAATGTGAGAAAGTTATGATTATATTATATTAAGATCCCTATAATAGATTTTTTTTGTCTCATTTTAGTAATTTTTTTCACCCAAATGCATTTTCAACAACATATAAATTTTAAAAATATGGTCAATTTTTAATTTTGAGTTTATAAATAAGTTAATCATGTAATTTCATCAAGAATACATAACTGAATTAATTATTTCTCCTAAAGTTTTGCAATATAATTATTTAACTTATACACTTACACTTATTGGTAAACTTTCTTGCTAAATTTCAATGTGGGTGATTTACTTGAAAATGCTAAGGAAGTGGTAAAAATTTTTTTCTATTTTTCATCAGTTGGATGAAAATTTAGAAAGAGTTAAGAGACAGATTTAGTTTTAGTGCTAGAAAGTCTTCTTTGGATTGTACTTAGAGTTTTTTGAAATAGTATTTAAAATGCATTTGAAATTAATAATCATCAGTTTCACATATCAAACATTATCACTAAGTAAAAAATCTAATCTAATTAATAACATGAAAATTTTTTGAGTTTGTGATATTTGTATGCTGTGAAATTCTCATATGATAGCATCATAAAAAAAAAAAAAAAAAAAAAAAAAAAAACTAAGCCAGAATGACATATTTAAAATTTAAACAGGTTTTAAATGCATTCTGCTATCTTGGTTACAGCTTTTTTTCATATTTAAAGTATCTACAAAAGTATTTAAGAGATTTTTTAAAAAATATGCTGATATAATATGGCCTGTACAGAAAGTTTCATCCATGGAACTGCATTTATATATTGTTTTATTGTATGAAATGATTTACACCATGAAATTCAAGAGATATCGCATTACCTTGCAAAGTGTTCAGTTCAAAGTCCAAAATCTGGACATTCAGCCATTAAATAAATAAATAAAATAATATAAAAAAATTTCCCCTTCTGCTTACAAAGTCTAGGTAAGGTTAATATAATATTCAATAAAAGGAAGTAGGTGTACGATAAATGCAGTCTTTTCCTGACTAATTGAAATTCCTGCATGTGACTTTCAAACAACTGCTGTCTAGGGAGTTGCACTGTGGCCTATGACAATACATTGATTGATGTTGGCCAGGCTCACACTTTCGGCACTTGAGTGGTTGTAGGAGGTTAGCATTTTTCTGTCTGGTGTATAAAAAAGGAGTGAAATCCCAATGTTGCAATGTCTACATATCATCTGACTAGATTTAAATTGATGATTTAAAATCCGGAAATTTCCAAAATACAAAATCTCCAAAGTCCTGACTATTCCAGATCTTGGACTTTATAATATAATTTAGTTGCTTATGTGTGAATCTTTGTATTAATTTTAAAATATATGATTCCATAAAATGTTTGCTTCTGCTGCCTTATTTAACAGTTTATTAATCATTTATTAAACTGAAGATAAAGAATAAATAAATTAAAATTTTATGCAAATTAAAGTAAAATGTCTTGTATCATAAATAGCTATGAATGATTTTTTTCATTCGTTATTAATGTATTTTAATAATATACAGTCCTTTGTGTTCTTTCTTCTCCATTAAATTTTCAAGACATAAGATGTTTGAGAATCTGATTTCTTTGATGCAGTCATCATCTCAGAAATTCACTATATGAAACGTGATATTTTAAAAACATTCTATGTCTATTTATAATCATTTGACTGTAAGAACTCTTTTAATAATATTTTGTATTTGGAGTTACAGTAACCACATAGAAAAGTTTTCAAATGTATATTTGAGATAAAAGTGTTCCATGAAAAAACCCAGAAATTTCTTTTCTTTTGAAATATTGCAGCAAACTTTGTCAGTCTTCTCTCTGTCACTCTTACATCAAATTTAAACATATCTAGATGTATAAAAAGTTACCTCTTAAATTACCACCTCCCCCTTTGTATAATTATCCATCATCCAGAACTGAGTTGTAGTAGACATTCAAGTTCTATAAGAATTTGATAAATATTACTATAAAAAAATGTTAGATTTTAGTGTAAACATCAGTGTTCATATTTTTTGATTTACAATATGTGTTTCATTCATATATCATTTTGTACAAAATTAATGATGACAGTTATTTTGTATTTTTATCTAAAGATTTTTGTGGTGAAAAAATTTGGTGAAATGTTCCCTTATTAATTAGAAAAATATTTTCATAATTTCTTTTCTTAAAAGAAATCGCTACAGCTTTTATAAAGGAATTGTTATTACACATTCTGAAATTAAAGTTTTAAGTATGATTACTCTATATTGAATTTTATTTCAATTCAAGCAATTTGTAGTTTAATTATTGTTAGTAAATTATGATGTCTGAATTAAAAGGGATATCTATCATTGAATATTTAGGATATGGATTTATATAATAATATTTTGGTACTTTTCCGTTTTGCCGGCGCAAGCGATAAAGTCGCTAATAATGGTACAACAGATGCCAAACGGAATATTCTCGCTGGTAACCTTTTACGCCTCATTTTCAAAACAAGTCGCAGCTTTTTCTTATCAGATTGATTGTTTCTTTCAATACTGGCATATAATTACATAGAATTTTTATCAGATAGTTCAGTTTTATGTCTAAGGCCATTTTCGGTAATTAAGTCAATTAGGATGCAATCACAGCTCTTACCCGAAGCCGAAAATATAGAAAAGGAAAGTCAAGGGTTAAATTCATCAATTCTAATGAGAATGCATTAGTGAAGTAAAGCACTGCAGTTTTACATAATTTCTGAGTAAGCTATTCGTACGCATTGAAATATTTCTTGCATTTAAATTTGTGTTCCAAATTAAGATTTAACTTGAAATTAATGTAGATAATTACTGAGAGCACTAGATTTTTGTAGAGTAGGTTTACGTGAGATGAGATCGCTTGGGGTCACGTGATATGAACCGGCGAATTAGGATGTTGAACCATGAAAGCATACTAAATTCTTAAATTAATGTCTTTTTACAAATTTATTGTGTTTATTTATTGGCTTTTTATAAAGTTTTAAGCGATATTAAAATGTTTATGCCTTCAAAAAAAGAATTCTTAGAACTAAAATTTTTAAAATATTTTTTATGTGTATACTGTATGTTGTCGCCAATAAAGTCTGCTTGGCGAGATTTGCGGCGGCGAAACAGAAAAGTACCATATTTTTCAACTAAAGTGTACATAGCGATAAAATTTATTGAGACAAAAACTTCTGTTAAATTTGATCTATTACTTGATTTGTGATATAGTAATCACAAATCAAAAAATATATTGTAAATCAAAAAATATGAACACTGTTGTTTACACTAAAATCTAACATTTTTTATAGTTTTTTATAGTAATATTTTATCAGTATTCTTAAACCATGATGTGTAATCTTCTATATAATATTATTAGTGTGTGTTTATTATACAGCACGTATACATGTAGATATATTCAAAGTATTGAAAATTTTAATTCCCCCCCCCCCTTTTTTTTTTTTTTTTTTTTTTGTGGGTGGCCAAGCAAGCAATTTTTGTATACAGTATATTGTTGAACACCAAGCATTTGAAACATTGGCTTACAGTTAGAAGGCTGATAATTGACAAAGAAGTATGTAATTTAAATTTTGGAGAATAATTAGAATTATTGTGGTGTATTTGGATAATAAATGTCTAGTACCTGCATTGCATTTGTAAGCCAATTCTTTTATTCTGACTATGTAAGCTTAAAACTATCTGCATTATCGTAAGTTATATTAAAAATGTATATCATAAGTTATATTAAATATTAAAAATTAAATATAATCAGTGGTTTTAGTGCAATATATCATCATTGTTATCTGATTGATGTTAGCATTGCATAAAATATAAGATCTTTAATTATCTATCATGAAGGTTGGCAAATAGCAAGCATCAAAAGTGCGAGTTTTTCCGTTTAGATATATAAGATCTCTGAATTATCTTTTAAAACTCTTTAACAAACTGAACTATTTAAGAAAGGTAAATGCATTTCTTCATTTAAAAATTATTTTTAATAATATGTTTAATGGATTTAATTTATGATAAATTGTGTAATTGATCATTTTTATGAACGCTCTTGCCATTATTATAATTAATAAAAGATGTTTCTAATGCCACTATAATGCTATAATGAACTTTTTTTTTTAATGTCAAAGAATTTAGAAAAGTTCGCTATAGGTAGCTTTAGCTGTAAGGAAACTGCATGTAACTTTTTCACAATTAAATATAATTCCACATTTTACATAATGTCATTTTATAAGTCATCTTTTTAGCTCTAGTGTTCTACTATTTATAGACCATTTGTAAATTTTTAATTTAATAAACTGGAATTTGGTAAACTTGAAATATTTCATATTACAAATTCTGGCAATATAACAATGTTTTTAACTTTTATATTGAATTCAACTTTTATAATAGTTATTATACTGAAATATCAAATTACCATGCATTTTTGTTAACATAACACAAAGATTCACGTTTCCAATATGAAGCCAGTTACGAAAATTCTTATGTTTCTGTTTATATCATTAAAAAAATTTCTTCAAATAGTTAATACATTGATACAGAGTTCTGAAAAAAAAAAAGGTATGCTGCTCTCATCACTTTTGTTTTTAAGTGAAACAGCGTTTATCCACAAATAATACTTTCCTGGGGGGGGGAAGCATACTTGCAGCTGTTAAGTTCTTTCAATTTATTTATTAGTTTTTTGTATGTATATTAATTGATTAATTGCTTGATATTCGCATCACTTTCAAATTTGTAACTGGTAATTAAACTGGGATCCTCAAACTTTTATTTTTCAGCCTCTGTAAGTTTATTAATCCAGTAAGCAGTAGTTATGACTTTATATTTTTGTACATCTTTTGTCTCTATTCAGTCCTTCAAATAATGCATATCCCCCAATCTGAGGATATCTAATATAAACTGTGGCCAGTTTTGAATATTATAAACTTGAATATTTGTCAAAAAGATGGTTTCTAATAATTCTAGTTAAAAATGGATTCGATTGGTTTGTTTAATTAAGGTAAATGCACAAAGGCTGACTGTCTAAACTCCAACTCAGTTTTAACAGATTATCCAAGCGAGAGTGCCGCCCATGACGGTCTGTGAATTTGTCTGTCCTCTTGATATCGAAACAAAAAATCAAGTAAATGGCATATAAAGGAATAAATTTAAACTATGTTTATTTTTGAAGAAAAATTTTAATTCCAGAATTTTAGAATTATTGTTTTACCTCTCCTCCCCCCCCTTCAAACCATTGAGGACGTCGCTGAAGTCTATTTGATTCCTCCAGTTGTAAGATGCACAATATTAGAAAGATTTCTTATATACAAAATAAACATAATTCTTAAATGGCAAACAAGCATTTTTAGTTCTAAAATACTTTATAAATCATTTTCACTTCGAAAACTCTTCTCACAACAAGTATTGCTTACAGCAACTGTGAGAAAAATTCGCAATAGTATTACAATGTTTCGAATTTTGTGCTGGAGATTGTATTTTAGAAGAAACTGCAAAAATTCAAAAGGTTCTTCTCTTCCACGTTTCTGTTTCGTTTTCCGGAGCAATAACGGAAATAAAACTCTTGAAATACTTTCTATTAAGAAGGATTTCTTTATTATTAATATCACCGCCAT